AAAGCAGAACATAGCTAGTGATAATCCTTTAGTGGATTGTGACTTATAGTTTTGAATAATTTGAGGAACTCTTGCACCAACTAAGATTCAATGTCAACTAAATTATACATTTGTGTACTGTATTAATTATTTAATGATTTTCACATCTATAATTAAGAAAACTTACAATAGAAAATAGCGCTACACCAACCAAAAATCTGTGGTAGTAATTTCATGTCATGTTGGTCGTCCTTTTCATTCTTTGTAAATAGAGTAGAGATATAATACATGAAAACTCCAGTAACACAGACTCCAACGAGTCCTATTAAAATTTCCAGGAATTCTTTATCCCTTGATAGATATACTGATGTTTGTGAATCAATGCGCTTTTGTCCGAGTCAGATTTTCTATACTTTCCACGAACACGATAATAATAGTTTTGTAGCATCATTGACTAACTATGTTATGATATATCGCAATTATAATCTATAATATTAAGATTACAAATTAACATAAAATGAATTTTTTTGAGATAGATCAATATTTTTGTAGGATGATTAACAATGACTCACCACTGTTAATATTAAAAGTAATGACTCTGAGTCCCCTGACTTTGTCTATAGTTTTCATAAAGTTGTCTGGTGAGAAAGAACAAATTCGATTATAAATTTCGTTCACTGTTGAAATTGATCGCAATAATTTTATACTACTAACTACTTACGGAATTCCAACCACCATCCAACAAGCCATCGATATGAATCCTGCAATCTTGAACAAATAACATTTTCATACACCATTTTTCGGTTTTTTTTCCTTGTTGTTTTTTCTACTACGGCTATGAAAATTCTTCAACAAAAAGTAGTGGTTAAAATTTAGCCATTATATATGGTGAACGATATATTTAGATTGTATGTATTCGATCATTTTTTAATTATAATAAATAAGAGAATTGGATGTTAAAGATCATGCCATTTGTAGTAAGTTTGCATAACTTACGTACGTACATAAGATGTTTCACAAAAATCAAGAGTGCAACTTATAAGACAACGAGGAGTATAGATTAATCGTGTTCACAATTAGCATTATTTGTTCTCGCGACTTTTCGTCTTATGATTCCTAAATGTGTGAAGCAACAAAAAATGATACGTGATTCGAAAAAATATCGATCTATACTGTATCTTTGGGTTTGTTACATATGTATGTACCAGGAACGGAGTCTGTACAACGTACAACGTAGTGTATGGTTTACATGCGATTCGAATGTGGATGTGGATCTGAATGGATGATCAATCCTTGTGACTTTGTGTAGCACCCTGAACAATGCTAAAAAAGGAAGCGATATATGACAACCAGTTTAATATAGCTTATCGTTATATAAACCAATGCAACTATCTTATTTGTATAAGAAACCTTAGCTTTTACTGACTACTTCTTCTATAGTCCTAAAGTGCTCTTTAAACCATCACCGCATTAATAAAAATATTCTTTATGAAATTTTAATATTAATATGACCTTCTATTAACAATAAGCGATTTGCAAGTTTAGAAATATTTATAAGCACAAAATATAAGAATGCACAAGGTATATGTTACAGTCGGATTAACTGTCACCACAACACTAGCAAAATCCAAAAGAAGCGACAAATTGTCGCTAGAAGAGGTGATATGCCGTGTAACATTCCTCGAACGTACTATAAGGCGGAAACGATCTGGCACGGGTCTAAGGCGGTGGTTAAGAAACGCTTAGAGAGCGATTCAGGTGATGGTAAGTAGAGGCCTTTAAAGAATGGTTTATTTTTATTTTATGATTTCATCTTTTACTTGTTATACAGTTTTAAAGACTTTATTGAGTATTAAATTTTTCTTTGTAAAGGGTGGGATTGAATTACTCACTCTATTAACTATGTACTTCTATCTTTTTACAATAGAAAACCTAACCCGTATTTATAAGAAAACTACAGGGAGGAAAAGAAGGGGAATTCGAACGCTTCTCATAGGGCTTTGACGCCTTTTTCCTTATTCCTACAATCCAGGTTTCGTCTTGATAGTAATTTCACATTGTGTTCACTTTTTCAACGACGACAATCCACCATCATGCGATGACGCACGTACACGGCCACATACCTTTTCTGTCAAGGTAATACTGTAATATTACCTCGACAGACGTCAAGCTATATCGGGTTGACTATGGATCTACGGCATTCAATGTGGCTTGGCTGGTGCATTCAGCTGCAAGGGGATCGTCGTTCAATTATTCTAGGTGACGGCGTCCGTGAGGCGTTTCAGGGGCTGTTTTCCCAGGGTCGGGTTTGCCTATGACACTTTCATATAAATCGTATGATTTCTATTAAAAAAAAAAAATTTAACATGTTTCAATTGGATTTGATAAAATATAACAAATACAAGCTATGTCTTATTTTTGCTTATACCAAGAACGGAGTGCAACAAAGTGCATTGTTTTATGGTGAGTGAAATGTCTCTACGTCATATATGACCCTAAAAACTTCTTTGTCCTTCGGCAATCTGCGTCACCATACATCACATGCCTAGTGATTTGCCATTTATATGATGCCTAAATTTTTTTTCGGAAGATTGCGACTCGGTCGCTCCACAATCCAAAATGTCGTGTAACGTACGATAGGTAACCTTTTCGAAAGAGGGTGTTAGATTTGGCTGGTGGGTGATTAAGGCTTCGGTTACTTTGGGTCAACGAAAACAAGTTGGACAAGCACGTGAACAAGAACTTGAACGAACGACGATGTTTAGAAGTGTTTACAGGGTTTATACCGGGTATAGAGTCAGGGTCTTTTTATGGACGATACAATGTATTGGGACTTGTTATTTTATAAAGTAAACGAAGCATACTACTCCTAAGGGCCATTTCGGCCTTTATTTATAATACTGAATTCGTCGTTTACAAATGCGACTTAACACTTATTATCTATTAAAACTAATTAAAGTTATTTACACGTATTTATTTAATATCCTTTATTTCCTCCTTATTCCCTATGGATCCAAAATACCGTTTCCGATCTTAAATGCACTTATTGCATTTCGTGCATTTTTCACGTGATCGGTCACGATATTCCGGTATCACAATACAGTACGTACAGGCGTATCTAGCGATTTGATTAGCTGGTATAAACGAGGGTATATAGTAAATTAGTACAGTACAGAAACGCAAATTGGGATGAAATCATGATGGTACGTACGATTTGCAAAAGAAAAAATTCTTTTGAAAAAGCTATGGACTCATACAAAAAAAGAATGCTCACACTTGCCCTAACCCTAAACATAAAAAAATAGTTTACTTGGGTCTTCTCTTCATTTGACATAAATAAGTGACAAATCATCGGTGTGACGAGTAGAGATGGGAAAATCAAGGTTTTTTTGAAACTACTGCGCAGCCTACACAACCTCAGTCCCTAGAGACTTTTACTCATTAGGTTTCGCGTTTATATATATAAAACATCTACTTAAT